ACCTGGGAATTCTAGACAAAGAACAATATTAGTCATGTGTGCCAGGGTTAGTCCAGGGTGCCATGTGGTATCATGTCCTTCCAGCTTCTCTCTGCTCCCTTTTGGGTATTTTCCTGGATACCCCTTCTCCCTTCACACCTTCTTTCATTATGGCCTTGGACAGTTCGTGAGGAAGTTAGGGAACATAATGTGTTAATGTTTCCTTTTCAGGAGTAACGCAAATCAGGTCTCAGAGAAGTACTCCTTCAGTTTATTCAGAGCTACTTGTATTGCCTCTTTCTCTCTGCCCTGTCCTAACTCTGGAAGGAAAGGAGGTCAGCTCAGTCACAAGCAGGTCACTGAGTCCTGAGACTCAGTCATTCCATTTGGGGATCTCCTTATTATAATCATTAACTCATTCTATCCTTATTTCTTTCCTAGACCTAATTGGATACATTCCAAAAATCCCACTACTGAAGCAGATCTCTAAGAATTTGTTATTGTGTGTTTAATCAGATCACTTCCGGTGCCATTAAAATCAGGCTGAAGGAAGCAGAGTCCACTGAGGAGATGATCAATGTGGCACGTGAGAAGTATCGGCCAGTAGCCACTCAAGGCTCTGTTATGTACTTTGTCATTGCAAGCCTCTCAGAAATAGATCCTATGTACCAGTACTCACTGAAGTATTTTAAACAGGTAAGCATGTTGTTGTTGTTGTTGTTGATGATGATGTTGTGAGATTGATCTCTTTGACTTCCTTTTACACCCTGTTGACTTACTTCTTGCTTCAGATAAGCCACAAGTCTAGTATAGGTTCAATAGTCCTGCGGGAGGTTGGGTCCAGACCTATGGCTCAAGAGCGGCTCAACCACTGTGTCTCCTAAAATTCAATTGCCCAGTGTGCCCAGAACACCCTGTAGAGGGAAGAAAGAAAGCTGCTTTGCAAGTTTCATTTTCTCCCGGCTTCCTTGACCAACTGCTTTCCCTCTTGCCTGCCTTTCTCATATTCTTTTCAGAATCACAGTTCCTTGCTATTTATTTATACTGTCTCCAGTATTTCAGCTTCCTTTCCAATGTTACTGTTTTCTGTGTTGGATCTCAAGTCTCTGACAGAACTGACCTTTAACCAAATTGCTTTATCTATCTTTTTTTTTTCTTCAGAACTTTTTGTGCAACATCCTTACTTCCTCCCTTGACCCCTGCCTTCGACTTAGAGGGATCTCTTTCCTTTGTTCCTTTCCCACTTTTACCCTAGCACTGTGAGATTTTCTTTTTTTATTTCAGAGTTAAATTTTATCATTCTCTTGGGAATAGGATGTTGTCACCCCTCATCCTCTTTGTAGCATTTCATTATCTTCCAAAAGCAAATTCAGTGTCACAAAGCTAAAACAAGAAATGTCAATTTTGCTAAAGACTTCAAGGGGTGACCAAGTTTGTATCA